TTTTTTAGAAAGAATGGAAGGATACTTTGATTGTGGACAAACTGCCATCAAGAAAAAGAAGAGTCCTTACCTATTCAGTGCAAATGCATGATGAAACTTCACATGATGATGCAAAGCCAAGTCAAAGGTTGGAAGTTTTTCTAATGCCTCTACCAATTTCACAATAGAATCATAATCCTTCCAAAAAAGATAAATAAAATAATGTATTAAAACATGATCTCATATCAGGCGGAAAAAAACAACAACTTGTCTAAGTCTTCCTTGGCCTGAAAGAATAAAAACTGCATACTGAATGGATATAATATCTACAATTCAATACAATACAATTGGGACCTACAATAATAGTATCGTTCAGTTCTCTTTGGTCTACAAGACAAAGGAGTCCCTGCAGATTCTACTCTGCTAGTCATTGCCACTTAGTCATTTATCATCTCCGTTTCAAGGCCACTGAGCCAGCGCTCTCTGAAGATGTTTCTGTGGTCATGTGGCCAGCATGACGTCGCTGAGTGCTGTTTTCTCCCTCCAAAGTATGCAAGAGCTAGGTGAAGATGGTCATTCACCCCATTGTGTGTTGCTCAGGTCTCAAACTCAGGCTATTAGCTTTCCAGCCAACAAGCCAGCACCTTAACCACTGAACCACTGTGCCACCCTTTTGGTTTACAAAGTTGACTCTAATTACATTCAGAAGGAGGCAATTGCTTTTCATTGTTTTCAAACTTTTGAAAGGGCAACAAAAAGAACAGATAATTTTTAATGTTGCATGTGATTCATTGGAAATATCTTTTGAATTTTGATATGAAATATTTCCATAATCAAATCAAGTCTTTGTATCCAACAATGCAATAAAAAAATCTCAAAGAACATGTTGACAGGTCATTAATAATGTTATTATCTTTCACTCTCTCAATGCCCTGTAATAACTATTTCATTTTGGTAGTTTCAGACAGCTATTATCCTTAAGCACTTCTGGATGTGCAACATTTATTTATTTATTTATTTATTTATTTATTTATTTATATACCGCCCTATCTCCCTTACGGGACTCAGGGCGGTGAACAGGCGATACTAAAAACCACAATAATAAATAAATAGTTTCTGTGCTAAAATCAAATTAAATAACAGGCCTGTTCTAAAAACACCCCATACAAAACCCCCACTAAAACATAATCATAGTGGAGTATCTTTATGAGCCATTCCCTTCCCACCCCACCCTACAAATGACAGCACGTATCCCGCCGTCTGGCTTGTGCACCTTGCTGTTCTACCTGAAATAAAGAAAGATTTTACTTCACATCCAAACTACTTTCAGACAGTTTAACAGGAACATGGGCAAGCTTTATTGACATGATTACAACAAGAAAGACAATAAACCAGACATGACATTTCCATATACAAAAGACATATGCTTAATAATCTCCTCATTATGGGTTTCCGTTACTCAGCCATCAACTGTATCCTGTGCTTTTGAGTGCAGATTTTAGAAGTATAGCCAGTCTGAAGAAAACCCTCAGTATCTGAAATTCAGTTCTTTTTTTAAAACCCATCAGTTCTATAGAGTATGTGATAGCAAGGCAGGGTATCATATAGAAATGGAATTTAGTCCCATAATTTGCTGAATCTTTGTCATTGTGCTTATAATATAATGTCCCCCAATATGCATAATGGATTCTACTTAAAAAAAATCTGAATATTAGCCATTCTATATCCCTTTTCACAGTTCTAGGCATAATGTAAATGCACACAGTTGCCATGGTAACAACATTCATTTATTAAATCTGGCAACTGTTAAAAATATTTTCAGCCTGCCATGAGCATATGCGGTAGTGACCATTTACCCCAAGCCCTCTGCAGAGTCCACCTGGCCCCGATCCATTCTGTGTCAAGCATTTGTTCTGAGAACGTCCAAAATAGCCTTTTAACATATGATAAATTTGAATCCCTCTGTAGTAAATTTAGACACTAAACGGCCACATATTTATACATTTCTAACTAAAATCATCCCTTTCTCGCCCCTGCCCACCCACCATCAAACTAAACCCTTTGAGAGGGGAAAAAAATGGAAGGATGGAGGAAAAATTGTGGAAAATCTGGTTTGGTAGGAATGACTGCTATTTTTAGGAAAGAGCATTCACTGTAAATTTCTTTACAAAGTCCCACTTGTTTCACTTCTGTTTGCATTTTCAGGAATGAGTACTTGTTTTATGCAAGCAAAAAATGAAAGGCTGGCAAACTGGTGGGATGCTGTAGTTTGCTGGCATATAAAAAATAATCTATAGCTCAGGGAATTGGGGATTAAGTGGGTGGGGTGATCTAAAAAAGCTTAGTAAGAACTAAGGATACTTAGGGAACATAAAATGTTGAATGACCTATGCTGACTAGAATTGAATAGAGTCCCTCTCATATGTTAATGAAACAGAGTTAATAGAAGTAATACATTTAAATTAAACATTCAATTCCTACCTGAATATCCCTGTAAGATAACAGCAGGTTTATCACAATGTCAGCAGACAAAAGCTCAATGTTATCCACTCGCTGTCTTATCCTGGCCAATTCTGCAGCTAATTCCTTCCCAGTGTACAAGTTACGAGCTTTTCTGATATCGTTAAGTATTGATTCCCTGAAGTATTGGCTAGAATAGAAAACAAATAATCAAGTCATAAAATACAAAGATTGTAATTTAATTCAGATTACTGGCTATCTAACAGACCTGTCACTGGCTACATATTTTACTCGTAAGTCATTTCACACTAGGAAGCAAAGATCTTCAGTGGCAAAAATGCTTTGCCTAAAGTTGGACAAGCAGTCGACTTGGTCTTTGTGAAATTTATTGGCACTCTGCTTCTTTGAGGGATTATTTCTTTGGGGAAGGAGGAGAAAGGGATGATAAGAAACTGGAGATTCCTGTCAATTTGGTCCTCTGAACATCCCTTAGAAATGTTCACAAATCTGTAGCGACTGAGGGTTCAAGAGGGACAACTGAATCGCCCAACTGATTATTCAGTATGCCCTATTTTTTAAAAATCCCCAGTTCATTCCCAGTTCTTACCATCATCACACAGGGTGGTAGATGGCCTTAGGCAAGCTTCTCAGCTTCATCCTTTCCCTAATTGTATGTAATACAGTAAAATAAGGATGTTGGTACATTAATTAATTAATTTAATATGTGTTATTTATTATTAAATTTCTATACTGCCTATCTCACCAAGGCTTTTCAATGTTTCTAATATATAAATGTCAGGTATGAGTGTTATCAAATTTCCCTGTAAATGCCTTACCTATTAAACAGCAAGGGGCCTCCCTGGGTTGCCATTATAATTCTGAAGAAGCAATTCATTTCCAAACTGAATATAAAAGGGGATCTTTTTTCCCCAGGCTTCTTTTCTCTACTTCAACTCATCCCCAAATATGCCTATCACTTCCAAGCAAAGCATCTTCCCCATAAGCTTAAAAGGGAAGTGGTATCTTATTTCCAAATGGTGAAGGGTATAAAGCCATGGTGGCAAACCTATGGCACGCTTGCCACAGATGGCATGCAGAGCCTTCTCTGTAGGCACGCGCGCAATCACCCCAGTCCTAGGCCTTCAGCTGGGTTTTATAAAACCTTTTCCTTTTGGCCTCCACCACCGTGTGCAAAAAAAAAAAAAGGTTCAATCAATCAATCAATCAATTTCAACTTCTTGCAGGGAAAAAAAAAGATCTCGCCAAGTTGGAATTGATTGATTGAACTTTTTAATCCCACCCAGTCTGCCGTTACCACCGCAGCCACGCCCACCCAATGGGCCATGCCCACCCAGCACACAACGATATATAAGTGGGTTTTGGGTTGCAGTTTGGGCACTCGGTTTCTAAAAGGTTCGCCATCACTGGTATAAGGCAAAGTGGTTTCTCTCCTTTCTGATCTACTTTTCATCTTTTTGGACTTTTATTAATCATGAAAGCTTTTGACAGATGGAAGAATGGACAGAATAATGGACCATTGAAGAAGGTGATACAGATGGAAATCCCAGCCTGGTGCTCAAATAGCCTTGATCAGAAGTAATATGGAAGCCAAAGTTCAAGCAACTAGCCATCCTAACATGAAATTACTCTGATAGACATGAACAGAATATTGTATTGGCTGCTGTTTTCAAATGCTATGTCTGTTACACTTACTGGGTCCATATGATTTTCTTGAGGGGTCCTTGGTGTTCTCTGAGCTTGCTTGTTTTCTTGCAGACGTTTCATTACCCTAACTAGATAAAATCATCAGTGCTAATAAGGAGTGCCATTTGCTGTCAGTTTATATCCTGGTGTCTTGTCTGTCTATGTGGGCGGGGACGGTCTTAGGGATTCTTTGGCCGGGCCGTTTACTAATGGCTCTTTGGTAGTTTCTTGATTGGGGTATTGCTTACTTGTTGATCTGAAAGTGACCTTGGAGTTAATCTATGGTGGAGAGGTGCTGAGTCTTTTTCTTTTTCGGACTAGTTGATTGTCTCTTTTGCATAGTCTATAGTCTATAGTTTATAGATGTTATTAATGTCTATGTGTCTATTGATGACTGATCTGTCAGAGCGCCAGGCTTCTGGAAATTCTCTGGCATTTCTAGATTTGGCCTGGATATGGTGTAGGATTCTCTAGGTCTAGGATTGTCACATTTTCTCAACTGATACTGTAGTTAAATCTGTCTATATGTTGTGAAATTAAAGAATTTTCGTCATGCTTTTTGACAGCCAGTTGGTGTTCATGGATGCGTTCTGCCAGTCTTCTGCCTGTTTGTCCTACATGGTGGTTGTTGCAGTTCTTACACTGTATGTAGTAGATGACTCCTGTTTTTTTCTTCTGAGGTTGCTGGGTCTTTGAGTTTACTTAGGATGTTTTGAAGGGCTGTAGTTGGTTTGTGTGCTATGCTGATTTTATTTTTATGGCAAATTTAAATGTTATAGCTGAAGACACTCCATACCTTGAGCTGCCCTGTGCCATCTTCAAGAGCTGAATAAAGCGGTCAACTAAGGGTAAGCATATTGGTCCCAGCAACAGTTCAAAGTTGGGTTGCATCAATTCAGTCAATCCCTTCATGAAACTGCTGTCACAGCAATAGACTTTGTTATGGGGAGTTATCATATATGGAACAAATATATAATTGCCAGTGCACATCTGCACAAAAGGAGGAAAAGGGTGTGTTTAGCAATGTAAATTATAACATACATAAGATAATCTTAAAGTCAATATACTTTGTAGAATGTGACTAACACCTAACATAATTTTCGTACTGTGAATCTCTTTAATTCATGCAGGTTTCCTTATTAATAGATGGCACTGTATACTTATATGATTAACACTCCACATTTCTTTCCTTATGGGAACATACAGCAACTCATACCAACAAAATACATCTAAACAACAAAAATAGCAACATATATAACATAAAAATAATGATCAGTTAATTAAAAGTGGAAAGTTTTTCCATGTTCCCTCTACTGAAATAATGATACCTCTGCCTTCCCCACACTGGTGTCCAGATGTGATAGACTACAATTCCCATCTGTCCTGAACTGAATGTTCATAGTGACTGGGAATGAGGGAAACTATAATCAAACATATCTGGAGAGCTATGTTATTTATGTTAGTTATCAGATTGGGAAAAAATTGGCAGAACACTACTATTTAAGGAGGGAATTCTTCAAAGTACCTTTACTGAAAGAACAACCTGCACATCAGACAAATTTGAACATAAAGAAGCTCTGCAGGTGAACAAATATTTGGATTATGCAAGGTAAGGAATTATAGTAATGGATCTCTATTTTACTGTTTACTCTTGTAAACATGAAGGATATTCTTTGTAGAACTGAAAGGAGACAACTATAATTTTAAATGATGGCATAGGAAACAGATACCATAAGAAGAAATTCTTGGTATTATACAACAATTTGCATTATAATCAGTGGTGGGATTCAAGTATGTGAACAACCAGTTCTCTGTGTAGATGCCACTTCCAGAGTTCCATTCTGGGCGTGGGCAGCAAAAAATTAGCTACCAGTTCTGCTGAACTGGTGTGAACTGACTGAATCCCACCATTGATTAAAATGCATTATAATATATACATTAAATTATAATGTAAAGAATAGAGGGAAATTCAAAGTTTATCAAGGTTGAATTATTGAAATATCATCAAGCATCTTAACTATATTTTTCACATCAGGATTAAGCATAAAACTTTCACATAACTTTTAAATATTTAGACATGAATATACTCAAAGTTTTAAATAACTTTAAATTACTGCCCTGTCTGGAAAGCATAAGAAAGGATACAAAAAGACAAAAAACAATTTCTCTAAAAGAAACATTTTATATTTGCTGAAAAACAAAGCAGGGTAAGGCATAGCCTGCTTAAAAATATATTATCAAGCAGCTCAGTTGGCATAGTTATTCCTTTAAAGTAGAAGAATCAACAAAGCAATGGACTGAGATGGAAAATACTTGGTTTTAGGCTATGAATGTAAACTTGGTCAGCCAGTTGGCTTTCATGCCTAAGCAGGAACTACAATTCATAATCTGCTGATAAATAGCCAGATGCCTTAACCACTAGACCAAATTGGCTCTCATCCTGCCAAACTAATGCTATCAAAATTATTACAAGCTAAAATGTAACTTGTTTTATTTAAAATATTAATAATTAAGAGAAAAAAATCATTTTTTTAGAGATCATAAGCTATAATGCTAATACTACTATAGTTATGCTCATGATGAGAGCACACAGACAGAGATAAGCAAGCCGTGCTCATTCTTTTTGCAATTCCCAACTTTCTCAACAAGCACAGCCCTCCTCAATGTGCTGGCTGGAAATTTTGGAAGCTGGAGGACTAAAACAGTGGTACCCATACTTTCTGGCCCCAGGGACTGGTTTCCATGGATGGGGGAGGGGGGGTCGGGGGGGGGGAGAGAGGCACAACCTAGATCCCATATGCAGATGAAGTTTCGCTTATGCGGCCCGTGGGTTAGGGACCCCTGGACTAAAGCACTGGAAAACAAAAAACTGAAATAATAGCCTAACCTAAAATAGATAAAATCTAAATTCCCTAGAAAAAAAATCAGGTTTCTCTACAGAGTTGCCCTCCACATAAACAAGCACAATGTTGATATAAAGTTCTACTTTTTGCAGTAATTACAGCTCTCTTTTGTTAGAAAGATCCTGTCAACTCAGAGAAGCTAAGGCATGTTAATTATTAAATATGCTTTTGTAGCATTCATTAGATCTTTTCTAATTATTTCCAAGAGGAAACACTAACAGGATGATGATGAATTGATTCTTCTTGTACAAACCTTATTTTGCCACTCTCTGAAAACACACATAATAACTATGTTAGAGCACTGTTGAAATGTCCTTCCTGCAGCATTTTTTTGAGCAGTAGTAATAAATAGCAAGCTTCAGAGCCTATTAAGAGTTAGGAATGGCCTTTTCCACCTAGAATGGTGAAATGTGCACACAGGCACCTGTGGGCACATGCATACAGACCCAGACTGATATTTTGCAACAGAATTAGGAATTTAAAATGCATAATATCATGCATAATTATTAAGATTTAGGAAAAATTTCTGATCTTTCATCACTGGCCTAATGTTCACATTATTTGTGAACCTGATACTCATCACATTCTTTCTTCTGCACAGATTTCATCATTCAAAAGTAGATATCACCATCAATGAAGCAGTATGTTTAGTGACTGCTTCTCAAATCTACACCAATTGAAAAATATATATCTTCTCGCTGGCATTGCCCCACATAAGATCAGGAGAGAAGTTGCAGCAGACAAGAGAATGACCCTTGACATCCTCTGAGCAGACATATGCCCCAAGCCAGCTGACTCAGATTTAGGAACAGCTTTATAGCAAAACCAATCATTCTTGAGGGTACACAAGAACAAAATCAAATTAAAAGATGGAGGTGGGAGACCGTTGAGCAAGAAATAACATTAAAGGATATGGTTGAAGGATCCGACCTCCCTTATACTACTTGGAAGACCCTGAATAGGTTGAGTTGCTGCATAACTCTCAATTTATATTCTCTCTCTCTCTCTCTCTCTCTCTCTCTCTCACACACACACACACACACACACACACACAGACAGAATTAATGTCACTTGTGAAATTTCTCTAAGTCTATTAACAAACAGCAGTCCTATTTTTCTTCTCTGTTTGTACAAATTACTTGCTATTTCTCCTATGAGCCATCAGATATTTCTCAGTTGGGGCAGACAGATTTTCTGAAGTAAGTTGAGTATGTGCAAAAGGATACTACAGTTGGACCAGAAACCTAGGCACGTGAACTCACCACATTTCATATTTATTTATTTAAGTTTTGAGGCCACCCAAATCCTTAATTTTGGGCAACTAACAACATAAATAGAAAAAAAAACAGTGTAGAACATCTAGAATTATTCACTTGTGTTTCTGTTTTTTGGAATTCAAAGCACTTACTATATTCGACAGCACAGTATCAGTAGTAGAATCCTTCAAGTGTTTGGGTTCTATCATCTCCCAAGATTTGAAATGGACACCTAACATTAGAATCATCCTCAAAAAAGCACAATAAAAAAACGTTCTTCCTGCGTCAACTTAGAAGTTCACATTGCTCCAGGAGCTATTGATACAGTTCTACAGAGGAATGATTAAATCCATGTATAAATCCATCTCTGTCTGGTTTGGTACAGCAACTAAACAGGACGGATACAGACTCCAGTGGATAATTAGGACTGCAGAAAAAAAGAACTGCAACTAATTTGCTTTCCATAGAAGATCTGTATATTATGTGGATAAGAAAGGGAACTGAGAAAATAACTGCAGATCTCTCTCATCCTGGACATTTCCCTTCAGGGTGCCGCTCTACAGCATTACATGCCAAAACAATTTTCCCCTCATGCCATCATTCTGCTGAATACCTAATCCTCATAGTACTGGTCTTACGTCTAAGTATATTCACCCAAGTTGTATGGCTGTAGTATTATTATTATTATCCTTCTCATCTTCTCTTATTGTTCCATTATTATGATTATTATAACCCCGCTGTTTTGCATTTACACTGAGAGCTTCTGCACCTGAGACAAATTCCATATGTGTCTAATCACTCCTGGCCAAATAAAATATACTATTCTAATATTTTACTGTATTTTGCAATTTATCACTATTAGCTGCTTTAGACAGCTAAATGGAAATGTAATTAAGAGTAAATTAATTAACTACATGGAAATGTAATTAACTACATGGAAATGTAATTAAGAGTAAATTAATTAACTATATGTTTTAGGATTGTGATAACATAACATACACAATTTTTCAAATGCAGAAATAAAATGAATGAAAAGTTGGTTGCCTTCCTAAAACCTGAGCCATTTCATACCAGAAATGTCTCAAAGAAATGCCATGGATGGAAACTTGCACCAAGATTTTATATCTAGCATATCAAAGAGAATACTCAGTTGATTGCTGATACTTCTGGACAGGCTGAGAAAATTTAAGATTTTCATTAATATTACTAGAGGATAAAAAGTTGAGACAGTCCTCTATAATGACACTTCCCAAAGCTGCAGTCCTCGTGCCTAAAATATAATCATTGTCAAACACATTTCCCGGTTCAATTTTCTGATGTAGCCTTCAAATAGAGAAAAGAGACAAAAATATCCTATCCAGCTCTGCAAAACAATTCTCTTTGCAAATTGCCAAGAGGTACACAAGGGAATGCAGCATTTGGATAACTGTGATGCCAGCCAAACGAGGAGTCCTAAGATAAAGCATCCTTCCTGCTAAGACCACCAAGTACTTTGAAGCTCTAGAAAGGAAGTCAAGTTCAATGATCATTCCTCATGAGACAAAACTTGCTTTGAACTCTGCATTTTTTAAAAACTCTGTCCATGTAATCAGCATTCCTCCACAGCCCATGCACTTGAATCCTAAAGCGACTTGAGTTGTCTGGCAAGAGGTTATTCAGAATTCTACTTACTATCAGATTTGAACTATCGAAGACAAGAGAACGGGTGTCTTTCTGCTCTTTTATCAGACAAAAGCAGAAAGGCATTCAGGGTGACTTTCTTATTTGAGCAAATATAGGGTAGGATAAATGTGGTTCTCCTGATTACACTATCATGCCACAGTTATGAAAC